GTATTTTTCAACCTATGAGCAAATAGGGAAAACTCCTTACAGTAGAAGAGTTTCAATATTTTCATATTCTTTTTAAACATTAATATCACTCAACATTGTCTGATGTAATACAAGTATTAGAAGGAATGATGTCTTTTATGTCTGGTCTTCAAAAGTATGAATTTTACATAGAATTTTAAGATAACCCCCTGAACATTAGCGAAATAATAAAACTGTGAAAGGTTAAAGTTTTACTTTTATACCAAGACATCCAAACTACCTTACCATTGCTCTTTTTTAAAATATTCTTACAGAACCCAACATCTCATGCTACTATATCCACTCCTAAGAATTTCATTGTGTCTGTGATCACAATGCATAGAATATTTAAACTTTATTCATATATGTCCCTGTTGAGAAAAGCACAGAAAAAGAAATAAACTATTCAGCCTCTTCTTTCTATATGAAATTACATGTTAGAGTGACATTTTCAAAGACACAAACAACGTTTTGTGAGCTTTTTGTCCTCAATATGTATTTGATCCCAAACACCTATCCAGACAATCAGGTCTTCAGACAACTCATTTGCAGAGCTCACAGCATACCTATGGTATGACAGCTAAACCTGACTAGACCAACACAAACAAACTCCCTAATGTCTACATTGTTAATTATAGCAGAGAGGTAATTAAGTTACCCCTTGTTGCTTCCATGTAAGACAACAGGAGAACAATGGCACAGTTTGATAAGAAATGAGAAACACGTGCACCAGAGGCACAAAGGACAGACCAGTACCAGAGCACCATGACTATCTCTCCTTGCTGGCACCAGAGACAATGAGAGCTGCACTGAGGCAGTCCTAGCACAAGGAAACAGTGGAGATTTTCACCCTGTACTTCCCAATTCAAGCCTAACATCCTGTGACTCAGTTCATTTGCATAATTCTCAGGTTTTCAGGAAGACAGGAACCATCAGTCTTTGGAAATGAATTTTCTTAACATAACTTTGGGGTGTAAAATACTCCACTGATGTCATTTGCGGTTACTTGCACATGGTGGCCCTGAATAAAATGAGACAACACAGGGGCAGTAGTCTGCTGGAGCTGGAGTTCCAATATAAACTCCCTACAATGTCTAAGACATGGAGCCTGAAGGCTAAGTGAGGTAGGGCAGTAGCCAACAAAATTACCTTGATGAAAGACATCATGTAGCTTCCACCTCCCCCTCAAAGAAGATACAATCATCACTTACATGTTCATCATTAAGGAGGTGATGAATGGCAGGACAAGCAGAAATGGAGCACAGAATGCTTTAAATGTGCTCAAAGCCCAAGTCAGATGTGACTTTTGCATATTCCTTTTGAGAGCTGCACTAAAGAACCTGCAGTGTGGTGTACAGAGAATCAATCCAGTGACATGTCTTTCATTAGCCAGCCACAAAGGCAGACTCCACAAGAAAAGGTGGAAAATCCCACCTCTCCCTAGAGAATCTTACAATGGGCTCTGGCTCAGCACAAACCTGGAATCATCTGCACTACAATGGTCACTCTGCAGTGGGAATATACACAGCCTGCAATCAAAAGGTATAAATGAATTCCCCACTGGAAAACACTGAAGTTTGAATTTAAGAATAAAACTGCTCAGCTTTCGTAAGCTAAAGATGTGTCTGGTCTGTATTTTTGCTTCCTGTTGACACTAGAAAAAAGGAAGCACTGTAAAACCTGAAGGACCAGGAAATCATTGTATGACGTTAGAGCTGGAGTTCACATACTTCCCAATAAAAAAGGAAGGCAAGAAAATATGCTGAATGAATACACAGATTGGAAGGTGCCCAAACCAGAGCAGATTTCAACCAACCTGTTCCTGAGCAACTAGAATAGAAACAATGTCAAAACTTAAGGAAGGAAGAACAGGATTGGCTCACACCTCACAGGCTCACCTTCAGAGGTGTTTTTCAAGATGGGGTGCAAAGAACTCACTCATTACACACCCCTGCTACACCAGTGTTGTTTATGGCAGCTCTGAAACTGCACTGTCATAATTCCAGCTGAAGTCTGGAAATTGAGGGAAATCCCTGGTAAAGAGAAATTTTTTTAGATCCTGGAAGGAATTTTTAAAATCTGCAAAATACTACTTTTCAGTCTTTGAATTAATTTTGGGTTCTGCCCATTTGTGCCAAAATGCTTCTAACCTTTATGAGGTATGCAATGACTTGCTGCCTGTCACATTGCAAGGTATGAGTTGACACAAGAAAGGACATGATTGTATTTGTGACATTAGGAGCTGTTGGGAGAGAGGTGTGAGAACCAAGAGGACACTGACATTCACTGAATCTCTGAGGAATGTCACATGGAGGCAAATCTGTCAAAACCATGGCGACAGGAAAGAGCAAATGGCCCTTCCTAATGTGCTAGGAACTGGGGGTTGCCCCATGGGGGGATGCTCTCCTGGACTGCTGAGCACAACATTACATGACAGATGTGTTTTAGCTGAACTAGACTCTGCAGATGCCCCAAGGTGGCAACAAACCACCAAAGCCTCAGTTTATATTAATAAGCCAATCTTAAATTGGCACACTGCAGGTGCCAACCTGCAAGCAGATCCACCAGGCCTGCCTCAGGGATGCAGGAGCATTTGGAAGCAAGGACAGCCCCAGCCATATAATTTTTGTCTGTTACCACTAGTCTATCAGAGCTCCAGGCAACCAACTCCTCCTAAGATGAATTCCTGAATGTTTTAGGTCAGACACAGGCTGACAGGCAGGAATATGGTCACACAGCCACCTCAGAGCTTGTAGGTTGGAAATGAAGGCACCTACCAATAGACACACTATTGTGCTCAGGCAAGTAGTACCTGCATGGGCATCTGTATCACAGTCTGGATCCAGGTGTCATGCAGAGACGTGAAAGTTATGGGCCAGGAGAGAAAATAACCTTTCTGCTTGCCTGAATATATGTGCATTTCATCTGATAATATTCAAATCTCTTTAGCTACATTATAATGAGGTTAAAGAAAGAAAAATTTCCCCACCTCAAATATTACAAATGTCAGTAATGAGAACAGTAAAAATGTCACCACACGGAGAAAAGAGTGAAATTAGCATATTTAGAGGAGTATTATACCCATGAGTGAAATAATGCAATCAGCTAGCTGCAAGATAAAGCTAATTTGGTTTCCAACAGTTTATCAACAATACACTGCTCCTTTACATTAACAAATTTAACCAATACCATATCCTGCAAACAAGAATAATTCACACAGAATATTACACTGTGTTAATTAAATAGCTGGAATAGAAAAGGTCAGGCCATGACTGAAAGATGCGCATATGGGTTGTGAAGCTATGAAAAGATGGAGCGATTTCAAATCAAGCAATTAAAATAAATTATTTAAATCATTAAGTCAATAATAAATATACTTAAATATTTTTGAGCCTTATTTTGACAACTCCTTTAGTTTGTTGCTGTTTCTCAGAAATTTCTCTTTCCTGTTGACCCATGAAAGAGGCAAAATATCTTGAAGCCCATCATAAGATGAAGTGTCTTGGATAAGTTATCAAAGAGTTATCTTGCTTATACTCAAGTTTTCATTTGACAAGGCAGATAATGAGGCATGAGACAAGTTTTGCAGTTAAGAAGCACACCACAAAACCCCACTTGTCTTATTTCTTGATGGGTTTCCTGCCACTAGAACCATGAAACCCCCACAATTACTACAGTTAATTGAAAAATGTTCAAAGAGAGAAGTACTTTTTCACATTGTTTACTTCTGCAAATAGCAGCACTTTGTCTTTGGATGAATGCCAGCAAATCACTTAAATTATAGTTGTAACATACCATTTTTAAATTGAAAGAATGTTTTGGCATGGGCTAAACTATGCTGAGGTGGTAATGTATGAAAAAGACTTAGTAAAATGGGGAATTAATCTTATTGGGAGCTCCAAATCACTACCAGAATATATATCAGCCATGAGGAAGTCTGAATCTCACCCTATGTTTTTACTGTACTTTTGTCACTACAGCTGTACACAGCAGCCTCAAATTTGAGTTTTCTGTATGTCCCCCATTATTTAACTGTGTGTGAATTTTATTTTTCATGTGGCATTTCCTGAAGTTTTGTAGACAAAACATAATTTTCTTTTGATCATAGTTCTGCTGATTTCAGTCAGCACATACTTTCAGTCTAGGAAACTGAGCTGCATGACTAAAAAAAAAAGCAATGTCTGTTATGTTCTGAGAAGAATGTCATGGGAATGAAATGAAACTTTGGAGGTTTTGGCTGCAAAATTGTGGGATGGTGGCCACGTGTAAAATTCAGCTGTGCACTGCCCAGCACATCAACAGTTATGATACTGACACTGGACATAAAACCAGTCTGTGGGGATCCCACCGTTCAGCTCTCGTCATTTAATTACACAGGCATTAATCAAGCCAACTTCCAGACTTGGTGACAGAATGTCTAATCAAGCCACACTGAAATACCCAATATTTTAGGGCACATGAAGCACCGTGCAGCATACGAACCATTAATTTTATGACAAGTACAGATGGTTGATCTACAGATAAATTCTCACATAAACTAATCAAATGAATATATACTTCAATCTATTTAAATGATAACACTAATGAGCATAGTGTTCCCCGCATGATGGTATATTGACCCGAATTATTTTAAAATGGACTTCTGTGCATGTTGTACCCGAACCCTGATATGTTTTCCCTCTCAGTTCGGACCGTGGTTGATTTATATCCACCAAAGCAACACGATTTCCTTCTCCCTTTAAGAGGATCGATATCCGAGGGACGCCCTGCTGCAGCACCTCCCTGCGCGAAGGTAGCACGCTGCTGAGGGGGCCTGCGGCCGACAGGGACGTGTTGGAGGAGGAGCTGATGGAGGGGCTCGGCGGGTCCGGTCACGGGCCCGGTTACGGCCCCGCTTCAGCCGCCGTTTCACCCTCCCCATACCCTCCTCGGCCCGGGCCTGCAGCCGCGCCGCGCTGGGGTCCGGGCCGAGGGGCACCTACCCGGCGCGGGGGGACGGCAGCTCTGCGCCCCGGCCATGCTCCGGCGGCTCTGCCTGCGGGGCGGCTCGGGCGGGCCTGGCTCGGCACCGCCTTCGGCGGCGGAAGGGGCAGCGCGGCCCGGGAGCCGCGGCGGGGCGGAGCCGGTGGCGGCGTGACGGCCGGAGCTCCCCGGCCCAGCCGGTGACACCCGGGCGGCCGCGCCCGCGGGCCGCCGCGCTCCTGCCCCGGGCTCCTCTCCCCCGCTCCCCACGGGGCGCGGCACGGTGCCTTCCCCGTCCCGCACGCCCCCGCTGCCCGCCGGCGCGGCTCCCTCCCCGCGGGCGGCGGGCCCGGCTCTCCTCCGCGGCGCCCGTTCCCTCCTCCCCTCGCCGGCGGAGGAAGGAGGCGGCCGCCGGCCCTCCCCGACCGCGCATGCGGCAGCGCCGGGCCGGGGCAGCGCTGCCGCGCTCGGGGGCTGAAGTGTGGTTGTCCCTTCCCCCGGCCCCGTCCCCTCCTCCCCTGCGGGCCCCCGGCAGCGCCCCCGCAGATGGGCTTGGGCTGGAGCAGCGCGGAGGAGCGGCGGCCCCTCCTGCCGCCGCCGCCGCAGCAGCCGCGGCCGCAGCCGCGGGGGCCGGCGGGGGTCCCGGCGGGGCGGCTGCCGCCGCTGTCGGGCCGCGTGTACGGGCGGCGGTGGCTGGTGCTGCTGCTGTTCTCGCTGCTGGGCTTCGCCCAAGGCCTGGTGTGGAACACATGGGGCCCTATCCAGAACTCGGCCCGCCTGGCCTTCGGCTTCAGCGGCTGGGACATCGCCCTGCTCGTCTTCTGGGGGCCCATCGGCTTCGCGCCCTGCTTCTTCTTCATGTGGCTCATGGACAAGAAGGGTGAGCGGGGCCGGGGGCGGCGGGGCCGGGGGTTCGGGACTCCCCGACCCGCTCCTGTGGCTTTCCCCGGGCCAGGCGGGGACGCCGTGGCCGTGTCCCCCGGCGCCGCGGTCCCGTGGCCGGTGAAGGGGACGCTGCCAGACCGGGAACACTCGGGCCCAATGGCCTCGGCCTTAAAAAGGGTTGACTAATACCTAAAAGGCATCATGACTGCTGTTTTCAGTACTCTGCCCAAACGAAGACTCATCAAAGTCCATTCACAAGGAAGATACTAAGCGGAATTAGGGCATCTGACGTCGCATGGGAGGTGTGGGTCTGGAGGAGCTGTTCCAGTCCGGCATTGCCATCCAGCTGTTTGACCTGGTGGTGATTCCTGGTTACCTGCTGTCAAACAAACACGCGTTGATGTTTTGATCAAGTAGTGCCATTGCTCAGGGTGGCCACTGCATCTTGAAATAAGTTCTTCATTTTTAAAAGCAGGCTGGACATGAAGTTGGTGGTTTTCTTTCCATTGTGCTAGGGATACAGAGACAGAGAACAGAGAGAAGTAGTGCTTTGGTGTTTCAAAGAGGAGTACAAGGAAGAGTTTCCTAATTTGTGTTCAGACCATTGCATCTCAGTAGCAAACTTACCAAAATGGTGTTTGTCTCTGGAGAACGTCTCCAGGGTCTGTGTGGTTCCTCTGTGGTCACCCAGGGGACCATTCCACTGAGGTGTTTGCAGATTTCAGTTTTTGGGCCTAAATCCACTGAAGGGATTTCTTTTAATTCCTGTTTAAACAGACCTCTAAACAGGAGATAGTCACCAGTGGACCCTTGTGGCTCCTGATCCTAAGTGCTACGTATTCCATTTATTTAGGAATTAATAGCTCATTTGTGGGAAAGGAAGGGGAAGAGGAAGGGAAAGTGAAAGCAGGCAGGGAGAAAAGTTGTATTTGAGAAGGCCTGTTTCAAAACTGTAATTACTTTTCCTAAAATTGAAGAGGCATTGGGGGAATAAAATTTACTGGGCTGAAAGTACATTCTGGAAATGAGTCCATGGTGGCTGTTCATCCAGTTTTCTCTCAAGCAGTTTAGACTTGAGCTGGCAATATCTGTCTCGATTGATACATAATAGTGTTGTTAATGATCTTAAAATTAAAGCAAGTTAGTTTGGTTTCTGCAGTGAAGACTGCCCATGGCATGAAGGAAATAAAGGTAAATGTGAACCTATGCTTAGAGAGCTGAGTCTGTATTTTTATTTCTACATTTTTTATGAAGTTGATCCTGAGCACTGCAAAATAATACTGTAAAAGTTTTGAAGCAATTAATGGGAAAAGAAACTTTAGTATTTTGTGCTTTTGTATTATGATTAGTAGTGTAGTTGTGGGATTTCTTGGTTTCATGTGTAGGTTGTTTTGATGAGAATATGTATACAGGTGTTCTTCTCATTTCCCTAACCGATTGCTTTGGAGGGTTCTTTTGTGTGTTTGTTGGGGTTTTTTTTTTCAATTCTCATGTTCATTGGAGGTGCAGATATGAGCAACCCCTTTACTCTTGGTTTGTTGCTGTCCTTATTGAGAGAATGTTGGTAGGTAACCTGAACAGGGCATCTCAACTCATTTGGCTGTGTGCGTAAGGAGTACATATGGGCACTGGAGCAAGTTCTTTCCAGATCAGCAGATTTTGTGAGGGCACTGAATGTTTTCTGATACTCTTTTCTTGCTGTTTGCTGAGTCTGGGTGATTCCCACAGAGAATGGGGTGCTGTTCACTTTGGAAGTGATGGTGGAGTCCTGTCACTTGGTTCATCGTGGAGCAGACAGGAGAGCTGCTGAGCCCCCAGTCAGCCATGGGGCACACTTCACTGGAGGCATGCTGTGGGGAGGAGTTACCTGCTCTTTGGAGTACCTGTGTTCCAGGAGGATCTTGACTTTTGCTTTGAAGCTGTAAAGTTGGTTGAATCTGATCTTGCAAGGCTCCTATTTCACTTGCTTGCTGTTACACCAGATTTACTCTGGAGAAGCTACACCATTTACTCTTTGACTTGAATCATTTGTTACTGGAGTTGGCTAGTAAAGGAGCTGTCAGGAAGAAATGTATTTGTGAAGTGTCAACATGTAAAACCTGGCAAGTATCAGAAGTATGACACTGTAGATGAGGCATGTCAGAATCTGAGAGGAGATTGTGCTGTTAGATAGTCTTATACTTCACAGTCAGAGGTAAATCGAACTTATAAGTATCTGCCTGCTGTCACTTAATCTGATTTTGTGTTATGATGCTTCAGAAGAAGTTCAGAAGAATTGGTCTTTTTGGTTTTTAGTTGTTCATTCACAGCACATAGTTCACAGCATAAATCTGTATCCGTACCAGATTTCTGTTGTGCATCTTGTGCACCTGCTCCTTGTTTCAGTACTGGTTCGGTCACTGGCAAAGGTTTGGTCACTTTTCTTCTTTTTTTTGCTTCTTAACTAATTGGAAGTTGAAAGAATAAATATTCATGAATAGCATACTAATAGTTACAAGAAGCATTTCTTGGATTCCATGAGCCGCTTCCATTATAGCTTTTCAGAGAAGTGTGGGGCCCTCTGAGAAGAGACAACAGCAGGGTTTATTTTTAGTGAGAGGTGTGCTAAATAACTTCTTTTCTTCAGTTCTGTACAGAAGGGTTCTAGGAGGGAGGAATTACAATTTTTTTGTTTTTTCTAACCTCAGAAGGTTTATTGGCCTTTGTGACCTTTTTCCCTGTGGCCTGCTGAGAGTATCCCCTGGATTCACTCTGAAGGCCTGGCTGCAGCCAGCCCAGGCTAGGCAATTGGGGAATGGCAGGAATACATGGACTGGGAAAGGTGTAGAGATGGTGTCACTTCTGGCTCCCCGAGGAATAATTCTGGCAACTGTATGCCTCCCCAGAGGATGACCCAGAAGGGTCTTGGTGCCAGAAGCAGCATGACAAAAAGTCTTGGTTGACTTAAGACCATGTTCCTATGGATCTGTAGGGATATCATGTTTTTTATGAAGCTGAAGATGATTTTTCATCAGGAAGGTAGTGATGGCCTTCACAAGGCTTCACAAAGAAGCCTTTTTACTTGAAGATCTGAGCAGACTCAAAGAAGACATTTTTGAAGGGATTTATCACACTGTTTTAAAGGGTCTTTGAGATGATGGAGGAAGTCTGGATTTAGCCCATATCTCTGTAAACTGAAAGCTATTTTGTGGTTTTGTTGAGCTCTTGTCCTCAAATGTACATTTGTTTTCAGATGCATAGTGAGGTTCGCATATCACAGCTGAAAGTTCTCTGGGGAATGAGCTCTGTTCCTGTTCCTGTTCCTGCCTCCCAACTTCCTCTGGCTGAATTGTGCCAGCCCTTGGGCACCCCCAGGGGTTTCCATGTTCCTTGGCTGGGTGCTGTGTAAGGACAGTGGTGGCATCTGTCACATTTCTTAGTCCTGTTCTGGGATGGGTGCATGATGAAATTCAGCAATTATATGTCACTTCTGAGTATGTGCCATTTTGGGTGGGTTTGAAAACTGTTTTCTATGTGTAGGATTCGAGGTGTTGTCTTGGTTGATTTCTTAGTGAAGAAAGGTGAAAAGATAGAGGGTGCCATGGAGCTATGTGTCTTATTTGGTGTATTTTCTTTAGCAATAGGATTAGAGAGTCCTTGTTTAAATTCTAATTATCTTTAGAGATTTAATAAGACTGAAATTAAATGGGAAATTACTTAAGTGTGCTATTGGATGGACCCTTGTTGTTTACATGATTAAAATTAGCTACAATTTGTCACATGATGCTTGAGTGTTTATGTACATTTTGTGCCTTGAGTGTTTCATTTCCTGAGAACTGTAAATACAACCACACAGGACTGTTAGGATGTTTATATGTCTAACTCGAAATCAAACGCTGGATCTGGTTCACCAAGGGGGTTTTATTAAGCTCCTAGTTACAAAGTGAGACCTAGAAGCAATATATGTCAGTCTTCATTATTTTCCCATATAAGCAAGAAGAGGCAATGAAGGATGAAATATTTTATGATAGTTTACATTGAACAAATTGAATAGAATGGTGATTTTTTTCATTAATTTTTGGAATGCAGTGAACAGTTTTATATTGAATTTGAGGATGAGACATATTACTTGTAAAAGTGGAATGTAATCTATTTCTTGGTCCTTTTTTATAAAATTATATATGCTTATGTGGGTTGCATATACAATCTCAGTAATTTTATTTTGCTGAAATTGAATTTATGCTGTGATGTTATTCTAGTGATTACATTATGAAGTAGAGAGAAAACTTCAATAATCAGATTCTGGTTTTAATCAAGATTGGCTTGTCCATTGACACCATGAAAGTTTTTATCTGTAAGAGTAGTTATTTCTTTCCTGAATACCAAACTCTTTATTATATTGCTGTCTCCTAAATCATGCATCTTGGTTTCCTTCTCTGAAGACATTTGATAGCTCTTTCTCTTCCACTTGGGAATTTTGAGATTAAATTCTTTAATGCAGTCTGACAAAATTGTCATGACTATTGAGTACAAGTACTAAATCAGACCTTACTAATACAAAAAATGTTCTTAATAACTGTTCTCCCTATAAAATAAACTACACATGACGTAGAAGCAGAACTGTGCATGGCAGCTTTCATGTTTGGAGTTCCTGGATTGTCACTTGATGCTGGGTGCATATGCTGGTTTTGCTTTCATGGGTCCTTTGGGTACCTCCACCTCACATATAAGGTTACTGGGACCTAAGGGAGATGACTCCAGGTGAACTTGTTTTCTCCTGAGATTTTAGTCTAGGAGGTGTTTGTGAAATGCCTTTGGGTTTATTTTGAGACATGTGAAAGTGGGTACAGGGAGAAAGCAGGTTGTCCTTCTAGAAGTTGGTGAAAGCATTGAATGGCCGAGTGAATCCAACAGGTGGGGAAGATTTTCTCAAGTGTTCCCATTATGCTTGGCATTTCAGGGTCCTTCTCTGTCATTCAGGCTTTTGGACAATCTAAGTATAACTTGGACATGTTA